AGCTTTATTTTATTTATTTATTTATTTATTTATTTATTTATTTATTTTACATTTATTTATTTATGTGTGTGTGTGTGTGTGTGTGGCCAACTCAGCCCACCAGGGGGCGGGGCTAGCTGGCATGTGGTGCTGGTGGATCGAACCACGGTCCCTGTGCTTTACCAAGCTTGTTCCAAGTAGGTGCTTTAGACCACTGAGCCATCTCTCCAGCCCCTGAAATATATTCTTAATGCAAGAATCTGAATATGGTTGAACAATTTTAGGCCAAGTGAAAATTTCCAAATTGCATTTCAATGCCTTAGTATTTTAAGTACTCTCTCCTCAACTTGAGTCATTGCTTAATATTCACTTCCTATTTTCTATTTCTTTGACCCAAGACATCTAAATGTATCAAACCCCAGTCCTATTTGTTGTTACTGTACTACAACTTCCAGTGTTCAATCACCACAAAATTGTGAAGAAACTACAACTCTTTGTAAATTGTATTGAGCCTTATTCCAATGCTTGCTACACTTCTATTTATTTATTTTTTGTGATTACTTTGGTAAGGATATTTTTAAATTTATTTTAATAAGGAAATATAAAATAATAGTGAAGTAGTTTCAAAACAGGATAGTAGGACAGTTATAATAATGAATACATTGCATATTGTTGTCTTCATGTTAGTGATTCAGAACACAAGATGCTTCTAAATCAAAGAAACACAAATTTGTGTAGACACAAGCATGCCAGAATTCTGAAGTAAATCACAGAACTATATGAAGGCACAAAGAATGAGCGCTGCATGTTCCTCATACACAAAATACTTTTTAAAAAAAAATTTGTGTGTGTGTGGCCAGCTCAGCCCACCAGGGGGTGGGACTGGCTGGCGTGTGGTGCTGGGGGATTGAACCAGGGTTCCTGTGCTTTGCTAAGCTTGTTCTAATTCGGTGCTTTAGACCACTGAGCCATCTCACCAGCCCATTTTTTTTTGTTAGAGTTTTTTTTTTTTTTTTGCGGAACCGGGAATTGAACTCAGGCCTTTGCTCTTGCCAGAGAAGCGCTTATTCCACTGAGCTGTCTCCCCGGCCACCCACAAAATACTTTATCCTATATCAGATTATTCCAGGGCAGCACAGTGACAGACCTCTATCAGACTAATTTAAAGGGGCAACAATGGATAGGAATGAAGCCAAATTACTAAGTGGCATGAGTCACATAAGCCCAGAACCATACTGACCCAATCTTTATCAGAGGATTACCTGACAAAAACCAGAAAGATGTCAGGGATTGATTTCTCCCTAGAAATCAAAGTGGAACTCAATAGAGATGCCATCATAAGTAACTTAGAAAATAAAATGAACCCTACAATGTACTTAAATCTAAGTGAAATAAAATGGGCAAGATTTTTAGTGTTCATAAAATAAACCAAAAGAATCACATGAAGTCATTGTTAGTATAGCGCAGAGCAGATAACAACAAAAGTTGTGAAGTCCACTGAGAAAATATTTCTATTAAAGATGTATCAAAATTTTAGATATTTTCTATAAATGGCTACTGCCTTTATATCCTTGAAAAGAAACTTCAAGAAAAGCACAGTTGAACATAAAAAGGAGGAAATTTAAAAATACCCACACTTAGTTCAACATGAACACAAGAAAGAATGCTATAAATATGAATTCATGCAACTGCCTTCTATTTTACAAGTCTAATCTATCATTAATTTGGGGAAGTGCAAAGCTCAGAGTTGACTTCTAAGTAGCAAAAAAACAAAAAACAAAAAACAAAAACAAAAACCCTGCACATAGGAAAATACCATTTTAAAATGTGAATAATTTAGATTAACAAATTTCTGTTGAAAACATAACAAAAAGAAGACTAAAAAGGATAATGAGTAAGTAGGTCTGGGGTTGTGGCTGAGTGGTAGAGTATTTTTCTAGTACATCCCATGGCTGGGATTCAATTTTTTTGTTAAATTCTTATCATCCCCAAAGAGAAAAACAATGTTTTTGTGTAATGCATGTAATTGACTACCATTGCTGCACCCAGTAAAGAAAGAAATTATGGACAAAGAGGTGCCATTAGTGCCACGTCATGCACCTTATTAAACTGGAGACATTTAGAAAGCTTGTGCCTATATCTTGCAGTCATAAGATGTATAAAACATGGACTCACCTGAACAAGATTGGGGTCTTCTTTTGTTTCAAGTAAGTCCTGAGTGATCAGAAGAGGCTCGCTTTTCCCACAGCTCTCCTGGCTGATGAGCGTGTCAGCATAGTTGGGCTGTGGGAAGATCAGGTGGCTCTTCCGAGAGTCCGCGGTGAGGGACACCTCATGCGAATAGGTCTGCAGGAAAGCCTGCACCCCGTCCACGCCCACAAAGTGTGAGGTGGGCATCCCAGCCAACCCAGCCCT